TCTCCACAAAGTTTCAGATTAAAATTCAACCTGAAAGTCAGTTAAATAAATTATTGAAAGATAGTGCGCATTATTTATATACACAAAGCGCAGTGTGTTTCAATATTTTATTTAACTGACTTCCCGGATGATTTTTAAACTAAAATTTTGTGAATGTAATTTACACTTGATGAAAAATACTCTAAAAAAGTTTCATAAAAAAATCCCTTCATAGAGGGCTCCAAATGACCTCGATCTAATATATTTATCCATTTATACATAATTATGGGCCCCTGTAAATGTTGGGCCCGGGGCACAAGCCCGGCCTGCCCTGGTCCAGGGCCGGCCCTGATTGGCTGAAGTTACAGTAGATGACCATTTTAGCTATTTTTACATATAATTTTTTCTTTATTTTATTAATAAAATATTTTTTAAAAATATTTTTTCTTAAATCGGCAGAATCAGCCAATGCAGCCACTTCAGCCAGAACTTCAGAAATTTAAGCAGAATCAGCCAAATCAGCCGATTTTCCTTCTACCAAACGGGCTCGATATTTGATATGATATATTATAGGAAAAATGGAAACTAATAATCCAACCTTTTAGCGGTCTTCTTACAATAATCCAACTTTTTGGTTATTCATGAATAATCCAACCTTTGCACCTCATCTTCATTCACTGGTCCCTGACCGGTTGATGACTTGCTATTCCAAGTTATTTTCTTATCTTTGCAAATCATTATACCATAAATCTCATCTTTCACAAAGATAATATTTTGCAAAGATAAAAAAATAACTTGGAATAGTAGGTCATTAACCGACCAGGGACCAATGAATGAAGATGAGGTGCAAAGGTTGGATTATTCATGAATAATCAAAAGGTGGGATTATTGAAAGAAGACCGCTAAAAGGTTGGATTATTAGTTTCCATTTCCCCTATATTATATTATTATAAGCCCTACATTTACATTTTAGAGAGCAATGAGAGGTAGAGATAAACAAGTGTATCATTATCTATAAGGTTTTATCCTCCTACAAAGCTCCCAAAAGTGATTTATATAGCACACACAGCAGACTGGTTTGATTATAGATATTCGAAAATAAAGTTATATCTAAAAACAAGTATTTCTTTTCTATAAAAATTCCATTGCCAAATATTCTAACCCGTGAAATTGGATTGATAATATCTATAAATGACAAGAACTTTGATGTTTTTTTACTCGAAAGTCGAAACAACTCTTTCTCATTTTTCTTTTCGATGCTTAATTTCCAAAAATCGGCTTAAAATTGAACAAGGACTAACCTGACTAAACAACTTTAAGCTTGTTTTTAAACTACCATTTAACCCCGACAAGTGCACCAAATCACCAAATGAATATAAAAAATGCTTTTCATTGGAGTAAGGTATGTAACTCAAAAATTCACATAAGGCTGCTATGAAAATCTTGGTTACATAGAAAAACCGGAGGAATGAAAATGGCACTTCAATCTGCGTACCCATATAGCCTCTTTGAGCCAAATGAGCAGCTCTTATGTTATTCCATAGTTTTGAGCAAGCGTCTAGGCATAGTTCCATTGGTTAAAGGGGGCACCACTTCTCCATGAGGCTCAACTGAGTGACCTACTTGCGTGATGTCATACATACCATCATTAAGCTTCCATCTTGTATGTTTTCCTCTCCTAAAACCATCTAATAGTGTTGTTGTGCTCTTCAATATTCATCAGGTAAACAGTGATCCCATAAGATAATGTGTCAATTAGATCACATCTTTGGTACATCAGGAGACTCAAGAGAATTCATGACACATCTTTAGCAAAGTAGTCAGCCTAAGATTTTGGGACCCAAATCTAACGGAAAAAGCTATTTCAATTGACAAGTATATGCAGTATTAGAAGCACGAAAATCCCACATCAACACCCAAAAATACATATTGGGATTTAACTAGCATTACACTCCACTCCTGTTCTCTTTGATCACATGATCAAAAAGCATGTGGTTTCAGTTCACTCACATAGTGCAACCGTTTCTTAGCAGTTTGAATAGTCCAGATTTAAAAGCTAAAACTGATTCAGGGTGCAAATTATACCCAAATATTAAGACGGAATCCTAAGCCTAATAATGATGCTTTGTTGCAGCAGGTTTGCACTATGCATTTGTGCTGTGTTATAGATTATTTTCCTTAGTTTTTATTGCATGTTTCCGCTAGCTTCTCTGAAAATAAAGTTTCATATGCTTTGAAGGACTATGGAGAGTATGATCTTATAAGTTGCACCATTTTATCTTGAAGTACTACATGTAAAAATATTTGCATGTGTTGTTTCATTTTGTACTATCAACATTGCAGGATAATGCTATGGACATTGGAGTTTGGAAAGCTAGAATACTACTGGTACTAGACTGAGATGTACTACCAAATTCTTAGGCAATTACTGATTTTACCAAAAAAAATTACCTTGGAAATATGGTAAATTAAAATGCATCAAGGGAATACAACACAAATTAAAGATAAAGCAACAAATAGAAAGGAGGCACATGTCTATACAAATTTGAAATGACATAGACACTCAACCAAAGAGAGAGTGATCACTATACTATTGATACTTCTCATGTAGCCAAAGAAATATCTTTGTACAGAAAAGTCCAATTTATATAAGATCATCTAACTTCTGAAGTTTATTAAAGTACCAAGATCAACAGTATTTTGAAAAACTCACACCAAAATTGAATTGGCGTTGCTTGTTGTCTCAGGTGTGGTTTGCCTGCTTAATTGATCCCGCATTCTCTTTGCGGCTAAACCTATTTATTTATATGTCTCATTGTTTCTCTCTTATATCTGTGACTACTCCATCTTTTTGGGTTGGCTGATAAGTGTTTTTCAAAGATTACACAATAATATATCAAGATTGTCTTCAAGATTCTCAAATCAAATATAATTGCCAGTTTTTATCCAACTTTTTTTCAGGTTCAATTGTTTTCTTATCAAACATTGTACAAAGATATCACCTTCAAGATAAGTTTCCTTAATTTACTCCCTCCATCCCATTTATATTGTCCCGTTTTACCTTTTCGGGAAGTCCCACTTAAATTGTCTCATACCATATTTGGCAAAGTTTGTGTGGCTCTACATCAATCTTACTTTATTTTTACTTTATCAATTAATATCAACCACACAAACCCATTTTTCTTAATAACCGTGTCACCCTCTTCCGTCCCAATATAAATGGGACGGAGGTAGTACATCTCAATATATACTAAATTATTAGTAACTCTAATTATAAGCATGACTTGATAAGCAAAAATTAAACAAATGTTTCACAAAATAATCATGATTTTCAGTTTGAGAGATTCAACAAGCTGATAATGAGAGAAATCACAATTTAAGATATTGAAAAGAAATCAATCATATTACGAATCATTAAAAACCAATACCACTTGAGAATAAAAAACGCATCCCAAGTCAGGGATGATAGATTTAAAAACGAGTAAGATCGAACGTAGTGAAAAGTGAATAAACTAGAGATGATTAAACTCACTTAGATCTGTTTCAAAGTGATTAAGTTTTGTGGCTGTGTGCATCCTTGATGATGGCCTGATGGGAATACCGGAGATAAAAGGATACGGGAAACCTGGTTGGAAGATTGAAGATCACTCGTTTTTTAGTAGCCCTAGTTTCTTTGCTTTTGTTAAATCTTTTGTTAGCCGGGTGAAGCTTAGATTAGGTCGGATTGTTCTTGTTGGAGGGATGTCTAAAAACTTCCGATGCTTTCTTGTTCTTGATACAGTGCTAGTGTACCGGGTGGCAAATGTACCAAAACATTCAACAATTAGCCGCACATATAGCTGTCTAGTTAGAGATCAAGTTCAGCTTAGCTCTTGTATGATAAACAAACAAATAATTTCCTATATCAATATGTTCTTCACCTCAATTAGCTATGCCACGGGCGATAATGGGGGTAGAGCTTCAAAACCCGCTGCTCCAAATCCGCTTAAAAGTTTCGTGTCCGATCCGAACTTGGTATGCAACTTACCAACTCTAGTGTCTTTTTTGAGCCTTCTCCCAAACAGATATACCACCCAAGTTTTTCTTTATTACTTGGCTGATTTTTCGAAATAGAATTCCACGATGGACAATTTGCTCAACCTTGATGGGAAAAATATTTGTGCATCCTGTCAATGCGAGGAGGACGTATGCAAGTGGCTGGACATCAAACGAAGTATGGCTGCCCTTTATATCTCGGGTAAATGGATGAAGAGCAAAGCTGTCCAGATTTCTCTATTCAGCACACTACATCATTTGGAAAAGAAGAAATACAATGAAGTTCAAGCATGCTCCTACAGTTATACAGAATGTTGCCAATATAAATCTCTTTATTATATAGCATCTATCATGTTAGTATGATCTCGTTTTAGACCTGTACCGTTGTAAACTTTGATTTCCATGATTCAGGTATTTGGGTCTGTTTTAGTAAATATGAGAGAATGCCCTCACTTTGTTTGTACATTTTGCTTGGTACAGCCAGTTGGACTGGTTGAGGAGTCTCTTTTATTTGGAAACAGTAGGGCAAATGCCATCTAACTGTTTGTATGCTTCTCAAGTCTTTTGAGACCACAGGAGTATGCCCGTGTTTCGTATTCTGCGAAACCATAGACTTGGCTTGAATTCCAGCCATTTTCTTACTCATCCATATCTCTATCATTGTTTGGTTGGCAGTTAATTTATCGTACCCCAATTAAGGCCAAACTTGGTTATTCTACTGTTTGTATTTTAGCTCAATTCCATGCACTCTAATGTCCACGACCAAATCATTGGGATGCTGCAATTGAGGTTCTACGTTATCTAAAATCCAACCCTTTTCTAAGTACTCCGGGTATATACACTAGCACATTCATGTCGAGGAAAATGAGGCTGCACCAAAACGGAGTATACACTAACTAACACATCAATTGTATAAACAAAAGTATCTTTAAATAATGAAAGTGAATCATTCCCAAAGGATTGATATTAAAACTTAAATATCTGACCTGTTAATTTTGTGCCGCAGCCATTTATAAATCAAAGGCTGAAACAGGCTGTACCGAAGAGCCAATACCCGAGGGGGGACCGAGTAATTTAGAGCATGCACATGGTAAGAACTGATATCAATATATGCCTTTGGCTGAGACAGGCAAACACAAAACTTATCGTACAAAGAAAAGACAGAACTATTGATTGCTGTAGCACCAGAATCACTTGGGGAAAATGTATAAAAACCATTAATTTTTTTACATTTCAACCTATTTAAAGCATTTTTGTCTTGATTGCCTCATGCCATCATTGACGTGTAACATTTTCCGGTTCATTCAGTTTTCGGTCACCTGGAATGGGATTATCTTCAAGGCTAACATCTACTGAATTGCTATTCTTGGATTCAATTTCATCAACAGCTTGTTGTGGGGAATCATCAGATGACACGACAGATGATTCATCCGAAGAATCGGACACCACAGCGGGCTCGGCTTTTGATTTTCTTGATCCCTTATGAGAAAGAACATGTTTTATGCCGTGAGCAGATTTCCCCACGTGCTTCAACATGTTCTTAGCTTTGTCCTTCATTTTATGCTTGGTTGGACTGTCTTGTTCATCTCCCTCCTGAGATTCTTTACCATCTTCTGCTTTCGATCTTGCAGGTGATTGAGCAGCAGCATTTGCACCATCTTTTACATATATTACGCCAATGTTCTTTGCATTTACTGCCTTGAGATTTATATGTGGAGGTGTGGCAGGCTCACCAAGACTGTTGTTTGATCTATCAGGATGAGATCTGGGACTCCTGTGAAAAACTGAACTAATTTTACTCAACCCCCTACGGAACCGATTCGATGAATGTCCATTATCATTTTCATCGCTGTCCCAAGTGCTTGACTTGAAACTCCCCCCCAGTGAATCAGACTTCTCTCCATCAATGGTCCTGCCTTTACCCGTCCTTGGCTCCCAGACTTGCGCGATTTCAACCCCCGGGTGATGGACCCATATCCCAGTCTCTTCTTGCCCTTTGACATCAATGGGCTCATACTTGTCTCCAGCATTATGGGATTTGTCAGGTTGTTCAGGTGAGAAGCCTCCAACATCAGCTCCATCATTCCCAAACAATTCTATGTTCTTCTCGTCATCAGCACTTGCTTCGTCACACATTTTTTCTCCATCCTGGTTAAATTAATCATGTCTTAGAGGCTTATGTATTGACAATATTAACAGCCCATTTGGTTGGAGGGAGAAAATATTATGTTCCCAGTTTATTTATTCCCAATGACAAATACTCTCATGTTTGGTTGATGTGCATCTTTTCTTCCTTGTTTTTGGTGGGGAATAAAACTTCCCATGCCCCTCCCATATTGTTTTTCCCCATGTTGATTGAAGAAAAGAGGAAAATGTTCTAGGACCAAAATCTGAAAATCAATTAATTTACTGACAATATTTTTATGGAAATGGGGATATTGTTTAGCCTTTACACTATATTCCCTTGTCACTCCTGAGGACCGAACACAAGTAAACATGTTCCAAATAATATTAGCCCACCATCCAACACTAGAATGAGTCACATTATTTTCCAAAGAGAATAAATACTCATTTCCATCCTCCATACCAAAGGTGATGTTAGCTGTCAAACAAGTACTTGAAATAAAACATATTGCACAACTAAAATATTGCCATCTAGTGTGATGAAATTTAAAATTTCAAGTCTCAGTTTGACCCACAATATAATTTTGAGAAAGACGTACCTTTTTATCGTTGTCATACTCAAACACAGTTACTGCAAGATGTAGCCTTCCCATTTTGATATTCTGAAGAGGCAACCAGATATCATGCTGTTGCCCATCTCTAAAGTCGGTAACTTTTATGCAGCAATCTCTGTAAAAAAGAAGCTTGGTATTATTATTTGCATGATGATGAGGAATTAGACCAATGCTAACAAACCATAAAGCTTGAATAAACCAAATGCAGTTCATCACTACCCACAAAAGGAAAATGTATGCGATGATATTGGTCAGCAATGATTTAACAGCTAGTACCCCTATGGAGGTTAGCTTGGAAAACTTCTGAAAACAAAAAATTGGGATATTTCAAGCGTTAAAAAGGGGGGGAATAAAACAAACCCTAATGGATCATCCATAAAGCGGTCTTCATCAAAAACTTTAATTTTGAGTTCATCATTTGGTGACTCCCAAGAAAAAACTGGGATTTTGAATTCCTCTTGCCACTTTGGAGTAAGTGTCTTCTTTTGAGTCTTGGTCCTGAAGCTGTAAGGCCCAAGTCTCCCCTTCAGGTAAGGGTCAGCCAATCCTGAAAATGATCCATCCTTTTCCATTACCAGAAAATACTTTTATCATTTAAATTCAGTTTACTCAGATAGAGTATGCTAACCGTTAAGATCAGAAGGCTTCAAATCAGCTGCCTCAAAAACTTGCACAACAACATGTGCAACAGTTTCCTTAGCATCAACGGAGAACCAGTTGTCTGAAGATAACCAAAAAAAGGGGGAACATAAGATGCCTTACTGACTTTTATACCCACACAAGAAAACCTGTTTTAGGGAAAGAAGAAACTACCATCAATCCTAGGAAAATTCATATGCTAAATTACATACACATACACACTCGCACACATATATATGTATAAATGTATGATACATGCACACAGATACAGATACATAAATATATGTGTGTAAGATATGCAAGTGGGGGGGTCGAAGTGTAAACTACTTTCCCACGAAGAATGAGAACAATCTTGACCTTTAATCACCTAAAAATGGATGGATTAGATTTCATCGAAAACACGTGGACTTTGTAATATACTGTTAGAACACCGGTAATCTATACCTCAGAACAATATAGAATCAACAGAAATTGAAGAACTAAAGATCAGGAATTCTTATTATCAAGGATGAACAGAACAAAAAGGAATACAGTAGCCTTGGACAATTCGAGATGCCCAGTCTCCCAGCCTATTCCCAACCGAATACTTGCCTACCTCAATTGCCTCCCTTCCCTTTCTATTTATAGTACAAGCCCACTTATTATTATCTACAATAATAGTCCCATTCCTTGTCCTCAAGGTGGGTGATAGGGAACAGCCATTATCTTCCACTTCCACTTCATTCTTGCACCTCTCCCCTCCCAATACTTGACTGATTGCTGGACTAGGAGCTTCAATACCAAATCTTTTGATATCAAAAACATTTCAGCAGCTAAAAAGACATCTAATGCAGCTTCCTTCTTGATGTCAATTTCTGCCTTTTGAAGGAGATGTAGCACTGGAACAATGATAGATGCTTCAATGACAGCTTAAAGCTTATCCTTTGGACCATTCAATAGATACGAAGGTGCCGAACAAGCATCTGTCATAGTATTTTCCTCATTCGTAGAAATTATCCTTGACAGATATTTAACAAAGTCCATGTAGCGTTTGTCGACATAGAAAGCTTTGCAGGCTCATTCAACTGACCTAGCAAGGATACAAGTGAACCATGACCAGTAATCAGAGCCCTACATATGGGAGCATCACCAGCAGCAACAGAGGGATGAATTCCATTCCAATCAATGTACAACCATTCAGAACTGCGGTATGATGCCTGTCAGCGTGTGTAAACCGTTTTCTAACCAGCCCATTACAGAAAGATTCCTGAAATCTCTTTGCTTCCCTGTCCTGATCTGCCCCCAGCTTTATTAGCCCCAGTGAGGCGATAGGAGCCTTAACAATTTTTCCAAGTGGCCAGAGTTCCACTTCTACATTTCCCACATCCTCAATAGTCAAACCCATAATAGTCAATTTTTTATATATATTTTTATCCTTATATATAAATATTACTTTATCCTTTTTATTTTATCTTTTATATGTATATTCATCTCTTTTATATTATCTTTTTTTATAATAGCTTATCTTTTTTATCTTTATTTTCTTTCTTTTCCTTTTGGTGATATCATGCATCGATTCATGTTAGCCGACCCCAATAGCGTTTGGGACTAAGGCTTAATTGTAGTTGTACCCCCGTCTTTACCCGAAACCATTCCCATGAACATGCACCTATCTTCCCGCCAGTATCATACAACTGAATACCTTCTTCAAATGGTCCCATTTGCTCCAAATTACTTGCATCATCATGAAACTTTGGTTGAACCTCAACAATTTTATCCATCACACCAATCCACGCCCCGTAATCTGCATAATTCTTCCAGTAAACCAACGATGCATAATTCTTCATAATATACCTCTCTGCTACCTTTTCAGTATCCTCTATTTGTGCAGTCCAGGCACCAAAATCTAGAGAATTGTTCCTCATAAGGTTCCCTAATCGTTCCTCTTCATGAGATCTTGCCAAATCATTTACCGGTCGATGCATAGTATTAGCAGCATGTTTAAATTCTGATTGTATTCCATTTTCCAGGACATTGATGAATGCTGCCACTATAGCTTTGCTATTAACTCCATCAATCGCAGCAGCATACAGGGTAGCTGGAGATTTCTCTACTTGTCCAGAGATAGTCATGATTTCCAGCTGAGCCAAGCCTAAAAAGATTTCGGGAACCACTTTTTGCTCCAGTTCAGTAGTATTTGAATCAGCACTATTACATCAGCCGATTCATATTCAATGGCACTAGAGGCTTGAGTCACCACCTAAGATTTGTCCTCTCGTCCCTCATCCTCATCCATGAGCTTATCTTCAGAGAGAGGTTGTTGTGGCTTTCCAGACTCCTGCGACTCAAACAGCAATGGCGAACAGGAGGCTTCTTCTTCTGGTCGCATCAGACATTGAAGTGAACTGCTAGCGTATGCTGAAGTTTGCGAACCAGTAGAAATCCCTTCTGATGACGATCCAGGATGATAATCGGTTAGCGAGCTGGGAAATGTGGTAGGCAGGCGATTTCGAACAGGGATTAACAGTAGTTTGCGTAGAGGATTGCGAACTGAGAGAAGTTCTTTGCGACCTCGATGATTCTTGGCTTTCTTTCTTCTGCCGGCGTCTAGGTGGGAAACGCCTAATCGCCGCTTCCTTTAAAGCCTTCCAACTATATTCTCTCGTTTGAAATTCCCACCATTGAAACCAGTCAAACGCCCTTTCTTCCATCGCTCCTGCTATTTTAACTTATTTTTCTCCGCAGTAGCCTTTAGACGGAAATACTCTTCCATTTTAACAATCCAACTGTCCCCATCATCCCTGTTAAACAACGGTAATTCAACCTTTATTCTTGTATGACCACTGTTATCGCGATCCACACTAGAACGAGAATGATCAGAATTTCTAGCGTCGTCGAGATGTGAAGTGCGATGTGAAGAGTGCTGCGAGCTGCGCGTTGTGAAGGATTGATTCCTCGGTCGATTTTGGTTACGGTTCATCTTCGCGATTGTCTCTTGTAGTATCACCAAGTTCATCGCAACTTTTTCCATCGATTTCTCGATCGTGGATTTCATCTCCAGGTTCGAATGCTTCTCCAGATGTCCGTGCGAATCAAAGGCGGCCAGTTCTGACCATCGCTGTTCTCTGCTCTGCTCAGCGACCATCTTGGTTCGTTCATGTCTCAGCATCGCGAACAATCAATTTTCCTCTTCCCCTATAGAGATGTGACTATCAATTAAGACTCCAGGAGCGAGTGCTCTGATACCATTGTTAGAACACCGGTAATCTATACCTCAGAACAATATAGAATCAATAGAAATTGAAGAAAAAAAGATCAGAAATTTTTATTATCAAGGATGAACAGAACAAAAAGGAATACAGTAGCCTTGGGCGATTCGAGATGCCCAATCTCCCAGCCTATTCCCAACCGAATACTTGCCTACCTCAATTGCCTCCCTTCCCTTTCTATTTATAGTACAAGCCCACTTATTATTATCTACAATAATAGGCCCATTCCTATCATATACTAGGTGCACTCTATGCATACAATGATGAACTTTTCGCCACCGCATTCTACTCATCAAAAGTCCTCCATATTCACAACCATGCTACTGTGTTTGGGCATTAAAACTAACTTCATCCTTCCATTTTGCTAATGAATGGATCATTAGAGCTAATGATTAGTTCTAATTTTTTACCTAATCAGAACTTGTAATTTGAACAAAATTTTCTAACACACACATATTTACACATAGCTATATACATATGTATATACAAAATTTTGTGTACGCCAATACAAAATGCAAAAGGCAGGCTGCAAAGAATTAGTAGTCTCTTGTACCTGGTTGTGGCGAGGCAAATTTCTTTACATCAACAACTAGCATGTTTGGCTGCAAAACAATTATGGATGTCAGTCATCTTATATTCATTGAACTCCGTAGCATCCTGGCGTATTAAAGCACATGGAGTGTAGAAACCGAAAGCGATATAGAATGTGCCAGTGTGGCACTTTTCTGACAAACATACCAGGGGGGATATTGAGGGGAGACTATGAGATGACATGCTATTATGCTAATACAGAGAGAGAGAAAAATCAAACCTCAACAAGTGTCTGCTCAAAAGCAAGGGCCAAAAGTTTGTCCTGTATAAACATACATGGAAGTTCAACAAATACACAAAAACTGATATAAAGCATAAAGGGAAGACAAAGCAAAGCTTAAATGCACTACCAGCCATCCAGCAATCCCTGGGACTTCTGTAACATCTAGTCCATGAGTGAAGATAGGTTTCACAGTCATCTGAAAATAAGGTGGCTCAGCAAAGCAAACCCTCAAACGGTCAATAAATGGCCAACTGGGGAGGAACTTCACACCTACCAAAACCTACATAATAATGAGTACATTTTGGTAAACATAACAAGGTGTACATTTGGTATGAGATAAGAGTTGTTTTTTCAGGATTACCTTTCCCTCAACATGCATGCCCAACAAGTGCATTTTTGCCCACATCCCAAAACCCAATCTTTTCTTCAATTTCGCAGCTAGAACTGCATTCATATCCTCAGTGCAGAAGTTCATTCCCAACTCCAAGGCCTGTGCTAAATGTGAATAGAAGTTTAATAAGGAGACTGAATATATGTGTGTGTGTGTGTTTCTGGACCAAATTTATAGCATAGATGACTATGACTCACTAGTAGAGTTTCTATAGGACCTGGGGGGTGCAAATAAAATTAGAGATTAAAATTTATCACTTCATGCAACATACAGGTATATGGGGATCGGTTCACTTTCATTACTTCATATAAAACACGGAGTAATTATTTTCATGCCCTCAAGTTTTTTCTTTATCTTTTCTTCTCTATTAATAAATCGTGGTTTTTTTATTTAATACAAAGTCAATAAGCACTTGAAAACCAAGAACTGATAGTATAATGCATTAAAAGAGCTTAGTGTACTATGCAGCAAATGCAAATAAAAAATACAGAGTAACAGTGAACGAAAAATGGGAAAAACTAACTTCTGAACTTCTTTACTCTAAACTACAACATCTAAGCTTAATAAACATCTTTATAAGTCTGAAGTTGAGAATCGGATAGCCACTCTAAGCATAAAAATATTTAGTTGGGGCAAATATTGCATTTGAGTACATGATTCAGTGATTATACATTTGTTTCATTGAAGACTCATTTATATTTTGGCACACATTAAACCTTTGTTATTCTAACCTTACAAATATTGAGCCAAATTTCCACCCAAGATATATGTTAATGCTGAAATGAGAGTGACAAACCAAGTGATCATCGCCTGTAGAATTCTGAAGAACTCTCATTTCTGTGAAAATAGGTGGACATCTTCCCAAGTATAAGTGCTGAGCAACAACACTCTTCTGCATGTATAGAAAAAAGTGTATGTTATTATTATGTTTATAACTATACTATTGTTATCTAACAAAAGGATACTGATCAAATTAAAGACATACCATAAGCTTTAAATGAAGTTAAAAGGCACATAAATATATTGGCGGAAATCTAACTAATAATGAGAAGTTATTAATTAAGTAATCGAATAATTAAAGAGAAGCCTTACCACTGTCCAGGGCTTATATTTTTGCATGAACCATGGTATGATAGGGAGGAGAAATTTCTGAGAGACAATATTCTCCATACAAACAGGCCAGAGTTTCTCTAGAGCGTGATTCAACCATCTTACACTTTCTGAATCAGACAGAACCTGGAGAAAAGAAAGAGGAAAAAGAAAACCCGTTTACAAAGCATCAAAGGATCAATTTCCAATCCTAAAGAACAAACACAAAACCCAATATTCTAATCTTGAAAAACCGACCAAACCCAATTCAAGTTTGACTAAATTAAGAGCTTTTTTTAACTTCCACTTTCCATTACCTTATACCTTTAAAACTCAAAGCTTTATGTGAAAATCAGAGAGAAAGTGAGAGAAAATCACCCGTCTTTGATAAGACTGCTTCTTTTCCTCAAACTGCAGTCTCCTCCTCAATCTAGTCACATAGTTCTCATGAATCTTCAAATATCGTAATGATCATCAAAATCAGTAATTTAACTCTAAAGTAGAAACACAATCAAACATTTCTCCGTATAACATAGATGAGTGAATGATTATGCTTACCAAAAAGATATACACTATGGAGATAAAATAAGCAAAAGGGTGGCAGGAATTGAAGGAATTGAGCAGCCAGAGGAGAAGAAGCACTACAACTACGTGATGTATCATTGTACCTTCTGTTAAAAAACTGCCCCAATCTTGAAAGAAATGGTTTTTGTTTCCTATTCTGTGTGGGTAGGTGGGTATATATGATCCGAGAGGAATTTCCGACCCGGCTCTTCAATACGGAATCCTATTTACGCAGCCATCACTACACGTCATTGGAGCGGCGGGTTCAGAATGAACCTGGAATTGACCTTCTTTGATTTCGGGTGGCGCCTGACAGAATAACGCGGCAGGATGGAGAAAAAAGTAAACGTCAGCCATGATTTCAACATTCGTGCTTTGACCCGCCCGTTTTCGCCACGCATGAACTCGGTGCTAGCCACGTGTCGGGGTGCAAGCCACTTCAGAATATTCCATGGCACCACGTCCTTTTTGACACATGTCTCTGTATGAGTAGTGCCACGCGTAACAAGTTCAAGAACACGTAGGCTATCCCGAAAGGCAAGTTCTACTGATATTCATAAAATAAAATAAAAAGGGGTACATTCTATTGTACCCAAAAGGTACCATACATTTGTCTATTTGGACCAATCAGAATGTTGGAGTTGAATTATTTAAATCTAAATTTAAAATGATATAATGATTTGGACTAATCACGTGTGTGGTAGGTACGCCACCCCATTTTTTAAATAGGTACCGGAATTGTCACCATAAAAAAGATGACACACGTAAATTGAGTTTTGATCTCACTCTAATGGAAAGAGAGTAGGGTTCCATTCCTGATTCCTTGGAGTTAAACCTGAGACCTCTCCGTTGTGGCACTCCATTTCTACCAGGTGAGCTACGCCCCGATTCTAGTGATATTCATCTGCAAAATTAATGAGTGTTTAGAATCGATTAAGCTTTTACTCTATATTTCATACTGAAAAGCAGAAATAAAATCAGAATTGATTTTCAGAAGCTAGTTTCTTCCAGCTTCTAAAAAATTGTTTCTCTAAGCAATTTGGAACAATTAAAGTATTTCTACACTTTCACACAACCACTCCAATATATGTTTATGCTGGAATACTTCATATGAAAGTAGATGCAAACACCCCTAAAATACTTCATATTACACTAGAGTGCTTCGAGTATAAGTGAAGAGTGTTGTTCGAGTCAGGCGGCCTGACCGGACAGCCCCGTGCGGACTTCCCCGTTTGGGGGTCTTCCCGGTGGAATTTTTTGATGAAATGTTATGAGCATGTTCCTCATCAAGTCTAATTTATTCATACCAAATTTCAGCTCAAAATTCGATCGGGAATGCAGTCAAATAAATTCTTGAAACATATTGGTCATTTTGCGCATATATAAAGAGCAGTATGTTTCAAGAATTTATTTGACTGCCTTCCCAATCAAATTTTGAGTTGAAATTTGATATGGATAAACTAGACTTGACGAGAAACATGCTCAAAACATTTCATGAAACCGTCTGACTGGGGAGACTCCCAAACGGGGAAGTCCGCACAGGGCTGTCCGGTCAAGCCGCCTGACTCGAACATCACTCTATAAGTGAAACCTTATTTTTTCATTTGACTTCTTTGTCCTTATATGTAGAGGTGGATTCGGTTCGATTCCAAAACCGGTATGGGAAAATTCTAAACCAAACCAATTATTCAGTTTCTCGAATTCAATAACCCACAACCGAACCGAGTATGACTGAAACCCGAATTTTCAGAAACCAAACTTTCGGATCAGTTTTTCAACTTGATGAAAAGCCGAATGAATTCGTAAAACTTCACTAAGGTCGTAAGACGGTAGCCACCCAATTGCAACTCTATGTTGAAGGGACGAATATATAGGGACGTATGAGGAGCAAATCCTCTTTTTCAACAGGTGTGGGAACTTTTCAAGAGCTTTAGAAAATTAATGAAAAATAGAAACTAATAATCCAACTTTTTAGCAATTTCTTACAATAGTCCCACCTTTTGATTATACATGAATAATCCAACATTTGCACCTCATCTTCATTCATTGGTCCCTGACCGGTTCATGACTTGTTATTCCAAGTTATTTTCTTATCTTTTCAAACCATTATACCATAAATCTCACCTTTCACAAAGATAATATTTTGTAAAGATAAGAAAATAACTTGGAACAGCAGGTCATGAACCGGTCAGAGACCAGTGAATGAAGATTAGGTGCAAAGGTTGGATTATTCATGAATAATCAAAAGGTGAGACTATTGTAATAAGACCGCTAAAAAGTTGAATTATTAGTTTCTTTTTCCCAAAATCTAATGATAAAAACTTAGGACACGAGCACAGAACTCTATGTTAGACCACTGAACCACAACAATAAGTTGTTAATAGTAGAACTTAAACTTACTCCCTCCGTCCCGTTGGAATGTTCCCGTTCACTATTCATTGGTCAACTTAGGTCACTCCTAATCTTTTACTTTATATATCAAATTTTTATCAAATTAAACTTTTCTTGATCAGGCTTTGTAGCGGTTTTAATGTAGTTTCTGAATATGTAAATTTTATTTACTAAAAATAAGCGGACTGTGAACAGGGATCGAGTTGCTTTATCGTCAGTCAAACATCGTAAACCGAACGGGAACATTCCAACGGGACGGAGGGAGTATTACATTAATTTCCTTTGCTACAGAATAAATGATAATTATCTCTTAATAAAATTTGGTTCGGTTTGAACCGATTTTAAATCTCAAAAAATCGTCTTTAAACCGATAGATTCATGTTCACGTCCTGACTTTCGGTCCCGTTCAAATCGGGTTTTTTCGGTTCGGTTTTTTTAGTTCGGTTTTCCATTTTTCAATTGGGAAATTGTCCTAAATAGGGGTAAATAACTTTGGAAATTCCAAAATAGGACCACTGTGTTTTTCTCCCCGAAATAGGAGTCGTTACTGTCATGATCGAAAAACACTGTCAAGATTGAAAAAACTGCCATTAATTATAATAAATACTGTCATGTTAAATGCACAGTACTGCAACTATTTGGCAGTCATGACTAAAACATGGCAGTAAATACTATCATCTTAGTCCTATTTCGGGAAGAAAAACATAAGAATCCTATTTTGGAATTCCAAACTCTATTTAGTCCTATTTTGGGAAATCTCCCTTTTCAATTTAAAATGCCAACCTTACTTATATGTCGTCTGAAATTTTAACGCTCGTTAATTCAGTATTCAAGTTATTCCCACACTTCACCTTCATTTGTTGTAATATAAGACATTGATAAGTGGAGAAATAAATTCAGATTCAATTCCGTCAATGGTTCATCTTTCTGGTCAATTAATGCTCTCAAAACTTCTCTTGTTACTGACACACACCCATGGTTACCCAGCGGCCTATATTTGGGATTTCAAGGGTTGCGATTTGGGATTTCAGAGTTACTAGCACGAAATTCAAGGGTTGTGCGTCTTTGGGATTTCTTTTCATCCTCTTAGTCAGTTAGTCGTGCATGCTCTTCCCACTGTACTTACTAATCACATTTGAATTCTGCTTAATTAGAGTCCTTTCGATTTGTGTTATTCTTCTTTATTCTTTGTTTTCAAATTGCATTGTTTTTAGATAGTGTTGTCTTGGGAAAATGAAACCTGAAATTAAGCATCTTATGAATAACCAAACATCGAGAAGAAAAACATAAATAAACTTTCATCGCAGAATCGCAAGCATCTAAATAAGAGTTTTGTTTGTGTACAAGTCCTATTTGGTTTAAAAAAACATAATTGAATGCAAATCCATCTAGATGTCACATACTTATTTATACTTCTATCTTGTCATTAACTTTATCTCTTAATTTTGCCCTCTTCTTTTGGATTGATTGTTGTGTTTGCACAAATGTCGATATTAACTTTTTTGAGTCATTTGTAAAGGTTTAATGAGGTCTTAAAGCCCCGTTTCATACCCGTGGACATGCAATCCTATTCACACATGCTAGAATATATAAACTCAATTTGAGTTGGAAAGTAAGTTGTGACTAAAGAAAGAAAAACATCTCCATATTCATACATTGTGTTTAACCTTTAAAAATGTATTGTTGGCTTGGCTTTGGATGTTGCAATACCAGTTTATGTTTTCTAACAAACTTTGGGGTCTTAAATATAAACATGAAGTTGGCATATGTCAATTTATCTAGTGATTATATATATATTGAAGTGGAAGTTTGGAATTTATAGTTTTCGTGGACGGCATTACAAGGAACCTTCATATGGCCAAATTTGATGATCGAAATTCATTCTATTGCCTTTGCATTTAGTATGTGTTTGCTAAGAGGTAATGAAAATTGAAACATTGTGAGATCAAAATGTATGTGTATGCAAATCTACAATAAGAAGAGGAAGCGATCCAGTCCAAACCCCCCTCCCCCGACGCCCCCTGGGGTAAAAAAAACAAAGAAAAAAAGAAAAAAAAACACAATAAGAATGGCTAAAGATAACATTAATTTGAATCAATGCATGAGCATACACATTGAACTCGCTATGTAATGGGGATGCATTTCTTTAAACTATGCTGATTTTTTTTGTTGTGGTAAGTTTTTTCCAGATTTCTCATTCATCTTTCATTTCATCACACTAACACCGGGGCTAGGTTCGGTTCGGGTCCCAAACCTATTCAGTATATCTCCGAACCGACCTAATATTTCGGTTCATTAAAATAGGACAACTGAAACTGAACCGTTATAAGAACGGGTACCATTTTTGGTACCCGATTTTTCGATTCGGTTTACCTGAAACCAAAAGAAACCAACTAAATTTAATTAATATATCAAATTTGAACTTTATATCCAATAGACAAAAAGAGCATTGGAACTTGCCGAGTACTTGAGCCCCATTAGCCTAACGACATTCATAGATGCTTGAACGTATCTTAGCCTTTAACACTAAGGGGACCTTGTTTATATAGAGATTTTTGGAGTAGGAAGCTACACATTTTCAGTTGTGGGACAGATTAGAATAGGAAAGAAGACACATTCTAAAAAACAAAAAATTCACACATCCCCGGGAGGCCGGGAATGGATCCCACGACATTTTTGTAAGCATAAGCACTAACCAACCAACTCCACTACTCAAGAACTTTGCTCATGTACTCGGTTTGATATTATACCTTTATTTTGCGTCAAGAATAATTATTATTATTATAAATAACAATTATTAAAAAATGTCGGTTCGGTTCAAACCGATTTTTTTGTGTACATAATCCGAATCCAAGCTGATTTTATTTCGGGCCCCAATTATTGGGTCCCAATTTCGTTTGGCTCTGTTCGGTCCGGTTCGGGTTTTTTCTAAAGCGGTTGGGTTATTTTTGGTTCTCGGGTTTTCGGTTTCAAATGTCAG